TATATAAAATACATCTGAAACTGGACAATGCAAAACTAAATACTGTATTCATTCATCTTGTGCTCCACAGTTGGCATGCTGTTATGTGTATGCGTACCTTTCGTCACTTATGAAGCAGCTACGGGAAGGTAAGGCATTATGAGCCGAATTTCTTTCTCTCCTAAGCGACTGCCAGATTTTTCGACAAGTGCTCTGCACCTTAGGATTTGGCTAGTTAAAACAGGCTATTTGTTTCACACCCAAAAAGAATTCTTGGCCTGCTAATGCATTATTCTAACTCAGTTATTTTGCCTGAAAATAACAATTAAAGATCATTAACATTAGAAAGTTTATCTTTTATTGAGGCGTCAGTCTGCTACAACTGCGTCGTGACTAGTGAAGCACTGCTGATTATGTAACGTGTGAAGCAGTCGGCATTTGGGAGCTACTAATTTAAGCATGAAACATACATTTTCGTTCAGTAAGAACTAAGAGCCGCCATGACAATTAGGAGCACGAACTTTTAGTTTTGTTTTCTCACATTAATTGAAACTGGGAGAGTTTCACAGGAAGCCCAGCTTGTAGCGCATTTCACCTCGCAGATCCATCTTCAAGAGGCTGTCACTGTTGCGTACGTATTATCTGAGGGTGACGTTCTGGTTGATTTCTAAGTACCTCGTAAGTATTCCCGTTCGGGAAATTGGAAAGTCAAACCTTTCACTTCCGAAACACAGCAAACAAATTTTATCAAAGTTGATATTCCTGTTTTGCATTCGGGAGGTCTCGGGTTCAAATGATGGCAAGGATACAGGCAACGTTCACCGAGGTGCTTTGTGGGTTTTCTTAGTCCTTGCAGTCTATTAAATTAGTGCATGGCCACTTACTTCCTGATCTCTTCCAAGTCATTGCCCATTAATCATTCGAAAATACAAGTCCCGAGTTACTGATAGCTTCCTTAAATAAACTACATATGAATTCACTGAAAGAATTTTTTGCTGGTAGGACTGTTACTGAAAGAAAGTACTTTAATACCTAGTTTCAGAATATTAGTATTTATGTTTGTGACATGCAACTGCATCCCTCAATTTGTAAAATTTTGATGTCCCTTCTGTTTTGTATCGCTAGGGCCATGTTGCTTCTTGTTCTTGCGTCCGCTTTTATGGTATGCCCTGTTGCCGCGGACCTCGACACATTGTCCTTCATCATAGACTTCTTACGATTCCAAAGACCACCTGCTCTTGTGAGCGCTTTTGTGTGCTGGAAACAAGGTATAGGCGATTTATATCATATTTCTACGCATTCAGATGGTTCATCGCAGTGTCTGGACCAATTGAATGCGACCTGCTATTTTATAGCTCATTTCTCTTTCCCAGAATCTGAACGCCGGCTGACGCTACAGCTTTCACGCAATCACGTTTTTCTGTCGACACACTCGTTGGACCGCCTTCGGGTCACACCGACGACCGGCTACGTAACATTCATCTTGGACACACGCTGTGAGGGTGCGATTGGGATTTTACAACAGGTCATATTCACAAATCAACGTTTAAAACTCAGTTCCCACAGACAAAAAACATATTGTATTTCAGTCAGATTAATACAGTTCTTTCACTTCCTACACGTAACCTCAATTTGAATTAATCTTTATCAAACAAAGTTCAAATAACAATGCCTTATTATTTTGCGTTATAATTTGACCTGTAGTTTTGTATGGGTGTGAAATCGAATCACAAATATGAAGGAAAGAACACAGACTGAGGCAAAACTTGATGCTAATAATTAACAGTGAATTTGTTTTAAATCCAGTTCATGTAAGCAGATTGATGCATGTTTCGGCCACACAACTTCTGGCTACACAAAACGTACTATTGAAACTACGTATTTTAAGCCAAATATTATTAGAGTGAACAAAGCAAGGAAGATCAGATGGGCAAGACACGTAGAACGCTCGGGGACCTGAACAAATGAGACGCAGATAAAAGGATAATATTAAAATAAGTAGTTGGGAAACAGGGTTTGGAAATGGGAATCGAATTCGTCTGGCTCATTATAGGATCCTGTGGCGGACTCTTGGAAGTACGCTAATGAACATTCGGGATCATAAATATAAGGGAATTTCTTGACTACTCTATTATTAGCTTCATAAGAAAAATTCTGCTCCATGGAGTCAGTTATTTCCAAATGTTTCGTATTTGCATGTATGCAGGCAAATGAACTACAGATGCTTCGCAGACAGTACAGATGGCTTCTCCTGCAAAGTTCACATTTTGCAACATTAAGTAGCTACGAAAACAAGACATTTCCACAAGCAATGGCCAGGCCCAGAAGTGACGATATAACAGGTGAGAGGTTGCCCGTGAAGGGGTATAGGGGTTTAAAATAATGAATTTCGCTTTCTATAGCTGCAGACATTTTCAAGGCCCCTATTTTCAAAAGCACTTCTTATTACGCTGGCGCACATTTATTGATAACTACACTTCACGCATTACAAACATAAACGTTTAGAACAGTGTTGTTCGAATGCGAGAGTAACCCAATTCCTATGTCTTAATGCTTGAATATCAGATATTCATCGCCCTGATGACGGAGGCAGTATGACCTCTGAAACGTTGGTTAACATCGACCAGACTACACAGCGCAATAACCCAGAAGACAGAAATCTTCATATTCACCGCTGTGAGAACCTAAGTCTTACATGTTATATATGCATATTTTTTTCTTATTGCGTGCTATTCCTAGTCTCATTTCAAACCTTTGTTACTTCCTCAGTACAGTATTATGTAACATGGGATTTATCATACGTTTCATTAAGCATTTTCGTTCACTCACACCTTCGGTCTCTGTGGGGAACCGTATACAATTTTAAGCCTGAATGTAGATTAGTTATTGGCACGAGTGTTCCCATTTGCTTCGTGTGATTTTGCCTCGAGCTTCAAGTCATATACACATATACCTAATTATTACGACTTGGCAGTTCCATACTACGAGGGTCGCTCATTAAGTAATGCCCCACATTTTTTTCCTCAGAACATATTTATTCAAGATGGCTCAAATTTAGTGACAATATAAATCAATGTTTCCTTTACACATACTATTTTTCCACATAGTCCCCATCAACTTGTACGGTTTTACGCCAGCGTGGAACAAGTGCATGCATGCCTTGCCGGTACCAGCTCTTGTCCTGTGCACGTAGCCATGTCATCACTGCTTGAATCACGCTCTTGTCATCTTCAAATCTTGTTCCGCGGATAGCATCTTTAAGTGGCCCAAAGAGATGGAGTCGGAGGGTGGATGGGGCAGCACCGTTCAACCAAATTTGGTGATTTCTTCCCGGGTTCTCAGACTTGTGTGAGGGCGTGCATTGTCGTGCAGGAGCAAAATTTCTGCTGGATGCTTGTGAGGCCGAACTCGTCGAAAACGCTTCTTGAGGGTTTTCAGGGTCCTGATGTACGCGTCTGAATTGATGGTCGCACCTCTTGGCATCACATCCACAAGAATGACCCCATCACTGTCCCAAAAGACAGTCATCATGACTTTTCCGGCGGAGGGAGTTGTCTTGGATTTCTTCTTTCTCGGTGATTGAGGATGATGCCACTCCATTGACTGCCTTTTTGTCTCTGGCTCAAAGTGGTGTATCCAGGTTTCGTCACCTGTAATGATCCGGGACAGAAAGATCTCTCCCTCAGCATCAAAACGCTCCAACAATTCAGAAGAAATCGTTTTCCTTTGAATCCTGTGGTCTGCTGTGAGACTTCGTGGAACCCATCTTGCGCACACCTTCGAATATGCGAGAGCCTGGATAATTGCAATCACACTTCCATTGCTGACTGAAAGCTGTTGGGCCAATTGTCGAGTTGGGATGCGCCGATCCTCACGAATAATGGCATCCGCGCGGTTCAACAGCCCAGAGCGCGGCAGATCACGGAGCTCGGTTTCTTCACTTCCTGAAGCTTTAACTCTCTTAGCCCCGCGACCAACGGTGCTCCTATCGACTGCACAGCTTCCATACACAGCACACAAACGTTTATGAATGTTCACCACCGTTTCTTTTTCAGCAACAAGGAATTCAATTACAGCTCGTTGCTTGTACCGAGAGTCGTTCACAGACGCCATTTTAACAGTTCACTACAGCTCCGCTATCGGTTGGAATCATTTGAAACTCCGTACACGAACGCGGGAAACATCAAATCTCAAGCATGTAAAAGTACACTTTTCTATCTTCATTATTGGCTGAGAAAAAAAATGTGGGGCATTACTTAATGAGCGACCCTCGTATATGACTCCTTGGTCTTGACCATCCTAAAACTAAAACGCTTTATTAAAAAAAGAACAAAAACCGCAAAAAACCGCGTGCGAGAACGACAGCAAAGGCTCGCTTATGTAAATGTCTTTCTACAGTGACGGCCCGTCCATGAGAGCTGCAGAGCTGCAGCATCGCCCATAATTTTTCAAAGAATTAAAATAATATTTTGTGTGTTTATGTAATTTGTAACCCTTTATTTCCTCTATATCATTATTTTAATATTGCCCCTTATGTTGTCATTATCCACTAATCGGCTGAACTGACAATAAGTCCAAGGGTGAGGAATCCGAATCATAACGGGGCTATCATCCGGCTGCAAGGATTTCAGCGCGGCTAGCCTGTCAAAAGTAGTGAGCGCTGTGTGAGGTGGAGTGAGGGACAGTTCACTGGTACAGCACGTATCGGAGCTGCAGTCCCCGCAGCCGGCTTATAGTAAATACGCTTGCACGGTACCACGTGTTTTAGACTGGTTTCTGTATCACAATGTTTCGTTAATGAGTGTTCAATAATTCTGTGTGCTGACTGTTTTTTGTTCTGATAATGATAATGAGGAAACGAAGTGTATCATAGTTAGAGCAAATTAATTTTTCTAAATTATTTTTGAGTGAAAAAAGTGATGTATAAAATCATGGCAGCACTCTTCCGGACTTAGAAACGTCGAGCACGTATGGGTTTTCTCCTGATGTAAATTTACTTCTAATTTATTTAAAATGTTATGTGCTGAAAAACTATTCTGTTTTCCCCCCTTGCGCAGCACTACCACTGCCCTGACTCATGAGCCGCCACTGGCTTTCTAACTCATTGTTTGCTATTATTGGTCGGTTATCCGACTATCTGTTGTCATCCGCTACGGGAAATGATGAATAGTCAATTCCATTGACAGATGAACTGGAATCCATTCTGGAGCACTTGAACATCCTACTGGACAGTGACGTAATAATTGGAAAACGCGTCTCAGAGAAAGTTTTCCTTTTGCTGGAAGTCTACAAACCCAGAGCGTCAGGCGGTCTCGTGAAAAAGATCATTGGGGAGTGGAGCGAGGGACATGGGTTACGAGTGACCACTTCGGCTGTAGTAGCAGTAAGAAGAATGAATTTGCACAAGGCCTTGATCAGGGCTGTCATGGTGGTGAGCGCAGTTGTCAGAATATGAACTTCACTTAATGGCTTAGTTGCTTCCTTCTCTGACTGCGTTACTATTTGCCCCCAGGTGACCGACAACGGTACTTTGAACCACCTGGACGACGACGTTGACAAGCACGTCGACACCTACACGAAGACAAACTACGCGCAGTTCAAGTATGTGACAGAAATCCTCAATGCCAGGTAAACAACATCATAAATTTGTGTGGAGGAAACATGAAGATAAATGTATAAAAATAGAAGAATACACGGATGTTAGTTTCTTGGTACATCAGACCTTGTTCAACTGCAGTGGTTTTATGGAGTACACCGAGGGATAATTATTTGAGAAGCGGGTATGGCTTATCTTAAGGAAGCTTAACAAGTGTTGCCTTGAGGTTCTGAGGAACACATCGAATAACCTGTTTCGATATTCACTATAGAGAATATATTCGAATTGGGTGACTCTAGAGCGTGAAAATAAAGTGATAAAATACTATATCGCGTAGCATGATTTTTTAAATCAAACTAAAGAAAATGAGACATGAAGAGTGTAATGGCCCTACAGTTATGTAATAACAATGAATGCCGAATTTAGAGTTGCTCAACAACTGTCAGATGCGCTTGAACCAAGTGGATAACATTTATACATAAGAGAAGGACCCTGCCTGTCCATCTTCAGATTTAATGTCTGAAACTAATGGGCGGATGGAAGTCTGCACTAAATGTTGGCACAGCTTGAAAGTAAGCCCTGTTTTATACTAAACACACAGTTAACCTTATTGATTTTCTCAGAAACTGTTCACTGTGTTAAAAGTATAGGCCAGAGCTCATTGTGAGTCTCATTTTGAACACACAATCGAATTAATTTATAACGAGGCCTCGACTATTGCGAGCAGAGAAGAGCTGGATGGAAATTATGTACTTATGAGCAACATTTCACGGTTAAAGCGATCACAGTAGCTTAGAGCTTCACGGGTATAACGAGCAAATCTTTAAGCCATTATAACGAGCAGTGGCTGAATTGCCGTACGAGGTATTAAGATTTAATATTGCTTTGCTCGTTTATGATATTTTTCCCCCTATCCCTTTCCACATCCCTGCCGATAACAATATCAAACTTTTTTAACGATATTTACAGTCGACATTCATAGTGTGGTTGGTTCGATTTCCGTTCTCAGAATTTCATTTAGTACTACTCACGAAGCACATACGGGGTGCGATCGGAAAGTTTCAAGACTGTGTCAATAGAGGGCGAACCGGATGTAGTACGAGCTTCTGCCTTTAGGGGGTGCGGCCTACATTCATAGTGAATCAGTGTGCCAGCCGGCATCATCGAATTAGCATTTGTTTCTTAGTTACGGGCGTTTTGGTAGTGC